GTAATACTATAGTTAATTACATGTGGGCCTTCTTGCTTATTGTAATCTTCGTTTTACATTTTTTAAAAATAATTTGTTAGGGTCATGTTTTAATTATTGTTTCTCCAAAACAATATCAAATTAATGTCAAAATAAATAATGGGCGTTCTGGTTAAAACTTGCATTCAAAATTTACAAAGATTGTTTATAGTTGACTAATTCAAAAAAAGAAAATTTAATAGTTAATTCTTACAAAAAATTAAATTTAAAACGTTGTGGTTACCAAATCAAGTATTTGACCAACTAGGTTTTTCTCACTGGCCATATACTTTGATGATTACCAATGGATTTGAATTGGCCACACGGAGACTGCCCCGCGCCCAACATTCTTGTACTTGTGAAGTTGAATGAATTTATTAATTTCTTTGAACTTTATTTTATTATTGTATAAAAAAAAGTGCATTTCATTATGAAATATGTCATTTATTATTTATAAATGTATGTACGTACATTAATTTTAATGACTGTTTTTTTTTAGAATTGCTGTTTGGACTTTGATGGTGACTATTACTCAGCGGTCTGCGATATAATAACTGTGAGGTCAACTGCCACATTTGACTGACAATGTTTAGATTTTAGGTATGTACTTAATTACAACATTAATTCAGTGATGACATCTTAGTTCTGGTAAGAACTAAGATTCTAAGAAGCATAGACCAACTTACATTTAGTAATACAGTAATAGAATATAATTGACAATTAGGCATTAGTTCAGCTAACTGCTTTGATTACACTTCTTATTTCCTGCCCAAGATTCCTTATTCGAAATCGGTTGGGCAATGTACATAGCAAATATACAATTGTGGACCAGACTCTCCATTGCATGGTAGACTTGTATATATTATGTAACTGCAGGTAATTTATTATATATTTTTCAGTTAACAAATTATATACATTTATATACATGTTACAGTTAACATATTATATTATATACTTTTAGGACAGAGATTCAGTTGGGGGATTGGCTTGGTGTTTCATCTATACATATGTGTGATGTGTTAGGCAAATCTCATATCTAACATATATTAATTGTTAGATCAAACGCCTTATTATTATATAAAAAGTTATAAGAGATGATGAATTCACAATTTTATTTCCGCCTCTAGCTCCCTAAGTAGCATTATAATCAATCGTTATGCTGTGGAACTGTGTCCACCTTGCAAGATGGACACGGTTCTATATTCATAATTACTGAACTATATGTTCATAATTATAAATCTATATATTCATAATTTTGAACTTCATATTCACAATTATTGAATCTCTATATTCATAATTACAGAATTATATATTCATAATTATGTTCATAACTCTACGTTCATAATTATAGAACTATATGTTCATAATTTTTAAACTATATATTTATAATTATAAACAGTTTTGGAACCGTGTTCCACAGCATAATTTGCCCATTATAATAGGCCCACACAGGCCCAATCTAAAATACAAACTTGGGTAGACCAAATAGTGCAATTTTGGGCCTACACAAACTGACTAGTCCATTGTGAAAATGTATACCCACTACAGTGTCCATTAAAGTGCGAGTTGATGAGGCTACTGGGCTAGAGCAATAGCCCAATGTAGGTTGGATCAAATTACCCAATGAAGATTTCCAAGTCACCTACCGGTTGAAGACCTGTATTGTTGCAATAGAACATTATCTTCAAGAATTTCCTCCTATAATAGTGATAGGAGTATAGGACAATGAGCTGCTTGAATTTTGGTGAATAATTGGCTGTGTTAACTCTATAGGGTTGATGTTAAGTATGTTTTATTTTTAATACTTAAGTGATACCAGCTTTGTCGTTGTATAAATCTTAAACTCACAGGATCTCGCCCTTAGAGCGATAAAACGCGAGTCATGCAATCAACACACAAGTTAAATCATAGTTTTTATTCGCACACAAGGGACCCTAATCCACATCCTCCATCATCCTAGCTAGGCCTTTTCCCATTCATATTTTTAGTGGGATTTGAACTGCCACATTGTAACCTTTAGTCGTGACATCAAGTCAGGTGATGAATTGAACAATTGTGCTAATTAAGCCCGGGGGAGTGGAGGAGCAGTTGCTCGAGATGTACTTTCGAAGGGCATGGTTAATTGCCTAAGTCAAGTAGCGATTGATGAAGGTGTGTGACTAATCGACGTATAATATATATATATATATATATATATATATATATATATATATATAGATGACAACTAATTTGTGCATGAACAAATAGAATGATAGTTAAATTAAGGCAATGTTAACAATGTACGTGTTACACGATGTTGCGGAGAACATGCATCATGACATTCATGGGTGAATGTATGCATAATAAATTAAGAAGTTAAGCACACCTAAAGATACAAGCACATACAATGAAGGATTCACTTTTTCTCTCTCTCCCAATAATACTATGAATTATAGAGTACTAATATTGGAAGAATTATAGAGTACTAATATTGTTCACATAGGCAACTTAATTTGTCATAGGGATAAAGTTTGAGAAGAATAACTAGGGATCGAATCTCACCAGTAGTAGTGTGGGAACCTCAAAGTGAGGATGGCAAATGTCTAGTCCCTGTGTTCAACTGAGTTACTATGATTTACATTCTCCCAGATGCTCTGTCGGATCGGGGAGAGCAAATGTCTAACCTCTGTGTTCAACTGAGTTACTATATACATCCTCCCAGATGCTCTGTCGAACCGGGGTGTGGGGGCCATTAGGGTTAGGGATTCAACCTTTTCGGAAAGAATTATAGAGTACTAATATTATTCAAAGTATAATCAAATAGTCATAGTCACACATTGTCTCAGTAAATAAGTGCGTTGTCGATATACAAATACAAGACCGAAAGAACACTATCTTTCAATTGCCTATCTATCATTATTTCATGCATCTTGTGCACTACTTCTTGATCTTCTACACTAAGAACCCGTTTGGTTTGTGGAAAATATTTGAGAGGGAATGAAATTGAAATTCCATGAAAAATCAATTACTATGAAGACTGATTCCATTATTTTGTTGAGTTCGGAATTTTAATGAATAATAAGTATAAAGACCTATATGCCCATATACAATAATAATGATTAATAACAATGGTAAAATAGTCATGTCAACTCATTTTTTCTTCCTAATTGAGTACTTGATATGAAAAACAAGATACAATGTCTTACCCCATAGATTAGAGATCAAATGCGGTGATTCTTCCAGGTGAAAATTGAGGTTAAATCTCAATCATTGATTTCGTCTAGATTATAAAAAAAAAAATACGGTGACATTATGATAATTTTGTGTGCATTATTTTCCTCCTTCGAGTACATATGTTTCTTATTTTAGTGTATGTTTCTCTTCGTAAGATGTAAAGTTATGGACATTACAAGTTAAAGTTGTGTACCTAAATGTTCAAAGTTCTGCACCTTAAGTTGCAAATTTATGCACCATTAGTTACAAAGTTATCCACCTTGAGTTGCGATTTTATTTATTTATTTATTTTTTTGAAAATCAGGTGCGAAGCTATGCTATACACTTGAGTATTCAAAGTCATTCACCCTTAGTTGCAAAGTTATGCACCTTGAGGTGCGAAGTTGTTTTTTTTTTTTATTTTTTGTTTTTTTTTTTTATTTTTTGTTTTTAAAATTTTTAAACAAGGTGCGAAGCTATGCACCCGAGTATTCAAAATTATGCACCTAACTTGCAAAGTTATGCATCCTAAGTTACAAAGTCATGCACATTATGGGTTTGAACTTGTTCACATTAATATAATGTTCAAAGTTCTGATCTGCACCTCATGTTGCAAAGTTATGCACATTATCCTGTATTTGTTGTTTGTTATTGATTTTCAAGTGGACTTACTATACTTTTATAATATTTTGGTTTCCTTCATCTTCGAAAATGTCAAATAAAAATTTTGGCAAATACACAATGCACGAAAGCTGAAGTAGCAAATCAGCAAACGAGTCTCTCATTGTGATATTTGGCGCAAAGGAAATTGGCATTCTTTACGAGACATTTCTCATCTGAAGTTGCTATTGATTGATTATCGCTCATACGAAGAGTTTTTTTCCCTTTCATTTTGGGCAGTTAGTCTATATTATTAGATCAACGCCTCAAATCTCACTTCATTTCTCACACAAGAGTTCCTTCGCAATTGAACCTCCCCCCTACCTCATATTTTGTTATCATCAAATGTGAGGAATTCATTTTTCATTGGCAATTTAATTCCATGAATCAAACAACAAAATTTAACATATTTCTCAAATTGTAAAAAAAAAAAATCCTTAGAAAAACTTTTATATTCAACCAAACACCCCATAAACAACATTAACATAGTACATGTCAGGCATGGAACTAATAAAACCATCAAACCGAATTATTTTTTTAGCCATCATTAGACATAATCATATTATTGACATGTTAATATAAAAATTTAAGTGTGCCAACAAGTAGCTTGTAGCTCAATGAAACATTTGTGAGTTTTTCAATTGAGATACTACATTGTAATAAAAGCACTAGTACTAAAAAAAATTGAGTGTCACATTAATTGCATGACTAGTCAACATACCGGTGAATATTATTCTAAAATTGTTATATTATAAAAATACTTGTTTTTTTACCAATGTAAAAATTATATTTATAACGTAATAAACATGTGATGAAATTGAACAACGCCATTTTTTTAAATACAAAAAAAATAAAAATTACAACCAACTAATTTTCAAAAATATAATTTCGATTGAGATTAATTCCCTTGAAAACTGCAGTGCATAAACTCCAAAACTAGAAAGAATCGAATAATATTTTAATTTTAATACTCCGTATATGAAGAAAAATATTCCACTTATGATTACTTGACAGAACCAATTATGGAATAATTGAATAAAAAAAAAAAAAAGAGAAAAAGAAGCTCAGTTGAAATTCATCATAAAATTTTATTTATTTTTACCCAATTTTAGTAAAAATAGAAGAAGAAAAATGGGATTTCTTGTAACGAACAAGAGAAGGGACTGCTTCCACTGTTGTGTTCATATGTTTCTACCATTCAATTTCGTCCTTGTTTTGTTTTCTTCTCTTAATAATTATAATAATTATTGTTGTTATTCCAGTATTATTCTTTTAATCCTTTATAATTTCTTCCCCAATATAGATTTATGTAGTTACGGAGTATTATTTATGTTGCTGCGCCTCGAAATTTCTCGCTTTTATGCATTCTTCGCTGTCACGGTAGAAGAATCTTTGGCGGTGGGGCTATTTAGCCCTAGCATTTGCTCCTGCGATACAAATCTTGGCGCTGTGAGCTTTGATTGATCTGCAATGGAGGGAGGTTCAGAAGGAGAGGAGAGCAACAAGAACGCTAATCACAGCCCTTCAGATGGGGGGCAGCACAAGAAGCCTAAGCGCCAGATGAAGACTCCTTTTCAATTGCAAACCCTAGAAAAAGTATATGCCAGTATGTCCACTTCTTCTCTTGCCCCTCTACATTTACACGTTGTTTTTGCTGGGTCTTTGTTTTGTCCCAAAGAGCACAGCTTTGGGACGTATGCTTGTTTAATATTCGTAATTTCGTGTTGCAATTTTTTTTTTTTTTCCTACATGCTAGGACTGTAACGTGTTAATTGATTATTATTTGTTTTGTTGTTTTGTTTCTGGCTATCTCTTATGTTATGGTGATCCATGAATTGGCAATGTCTGGTGTAGTCGTGAGTGTTAGGGAAATTCATTTGTTCTGATGATTTATAGTGTTGAAATGTAGCATTTAGGTTATAGCAGAGTGTGCTGTAATGCATACAGGGCACTAATGCTGGGCTAGAATAGTAGAATGCTTATCTGCTAATATAATTTTGCAGTTCTTGCATTTTAGTTTTGTTAATTTATTATGTTTGATATGGTGATGTTTAAATATGTAACCGGGTCTTTATCATGCGGGAGTGTGAGGCCATTCCCATGCACTGCCTAATAAAGCCTATTGAAATTTGATGAACATTTAGAAAGCATGTCTAGAAAGAACTGAATTCTCAACCCTTCTTTTCACATCCAGTTGTTTATGTTTTATCTTATAAATGATTGAGAAGAACTCATCTTTACTATGATTTTCAATAAGTTTTGGTTAGTTTAATTTATACAAGTGTATCTCTACTTATTTTTTAAAGATATTTAAACAATTAAGTTCAAATATGATCATATAATGTGTTCTATTTTTATTTTCCTCGACTTGTAGTGGAGACATACCCAACTGAGGCAACTCGAGCAGATCTGTCAGATAAATTAGGCTTGACTGATCGGCAGTTGCAGATGTGGTTTTGTCATCGGAGATTGAAGGATAAGAAGGAAGCAGCAGGTGGGGCAGCATTGAAGCCACGCGTTGGACATGCTGATGGGATTGGTGGTAAGAGAAGTCTCATGGAGTCACCTAGGGATGAAGAAATGGCTGAGCCAGGTAGTGATCATGGGTCTGGATCAGGCTCTGGTTCCAGATCAAGTCAGTTTGATAATGGGGATGACATGCTGACAGGACCTCCAAAGTATTATGAGCCACCAAGGGTGGTAAAGCAACACCAAATTATTGCTTGTATTGAGGTGCAGTTGGGACACCCTTTACGGGAAGATGGACCTGTTCTTGGTGTGGAGTTCGATGAATTGCCACCTGGTGCATTTGAGGCATCTATAGGTACATTTAAATTGCTCATTTGGTGCATTTGGGGCATCTATACTTATGTCTTGTGGTTTGTGATTGTTCAACTTTTAGTTGGAGTTTCTTTTCTAGAAATTTTAGCTGATTCTATTTATGCTGCTTGTTGAGCAGCGGAGACAGAGCATCGGGATCGTTATCAGCATTCCTATGACCGAATGTCGTTTGGGTCACGTGAAGCTAAGCAAATCAATGTCGGTTCGTGGTTCTCTGTGTGTGTTTCATTGTTCTGTGTGATGATTGATAGATCCACTCTTTATCTGTTCAAGTTGTTTTGAATGTGAAGTGCTTTTTTGCTTGTTGGTTGTTTTTTGAGTATTCTTGTTAACTTCTTTATGACTAATTACTTTGGATTACAAATTTCATGTTGATTTGCATACATGTGACATGTCAATCTATTACGAATTTTGTTTGTTGAGGCATACTTCTTAAAGATATCTTTCAAGAGGAATGGTAGTGTTGAGGCCCAGGAAGGTGGCACCCATTCTAGAGTTATAGTGGGAAATGTGTGTTTAAACAGAATAGATGACTTTGGAATACTATAGTATTTGAGCTGGAACTGTGTGTCTGTGTTGAATATTTGCTACATGACTTTGTGAATAAATACATTAAGAAAATATGGAGGCCTATAAGATGGGCGTGTAAGCCAGCCATTAATGTTTTGCTTTTCTCAAGCTAAAAGTTTTATGCTTGTTAGCCTTGAACTCTACTCTACCATGCGTGCATAAATGGACCTCCCATTTTATGATGTCATCACATTATGATATTATTAATAACACCGAGTAGGAATTAGCTTGGTGTATTTAAAGCCTGTCTCACATAGTTTTCTATAGTTCCATTGCAGCTAATTATTTTTGTGGACCTGCCAGTGTAAATCTTTTGTTATAATTAGTATATCATGCGCCTTTCGTTTTGGAAGTTGAATTGCAATATTCAAGTTGTTTATTTGTATTAAAGTGTAAATGCACTTCATTTTCAGACATTACCAAAAACTTCCTGTGAGCCTGCTGTGCATAAGGCTAGATCTGATCGATATGGTCAAGTTGGCCCATCCTATATCTATGATTCACCTGCCAATGGTCCCAGTGCTAAAGCCTTGTCAGTCACAGAAAGCAATGGGAACCTTTCCAGGGAATATGTTGCTGAAGGCCATGTCTCTAGTGCCAATTTATTGTTTCAACAGAGCAGACAGGGACAATTTTCATCTCCTACTGGTGATGGTGAATTTATTGCTTGTAATGATGGCACTTCACAGATGGAGCGGAAACGCAAGGTATTGTTGTTTGATGAATTTATGCAGTGTTGCTATTGCTGTTATCTCCCATCTGTGACCTGTCCTGTTTGCTTATTTACTAAATTTCTTCTTGCAGACTGATGAAGCTAGAACTGAAAGAGAAGTTCAAGCTCATGAGAAAAGGATCCGAAAAGAACTTGAGAAGCAGGATCTTTTAAGGAAAAAGGTAACCCCATTTTGGCCTTTGGAATTTCTTGAAACTGAGTAGCAAATTGAAGCTATATCTGTATTTTTTAAAACTTACATTTTCCATCTCCCTTAAGATGGAAGAACAAATGAAAAAGGAAATGGAAAGACAGGACCGTGAGAGAAGGAAAGAAGAAAAGAGAATGATGCGAGAACAGCAGAGAATGGAGGAGAGATTTCAGCGTGAGGAAAGGCGTGAAATGGAAAGGCGAGAGAAGTTTATGCAGAAAGAGCTTATCAAGGTAAGCTTGAGTGGTAATTTAGCTTCACCTTATACTTCCATTTTAATTTAGTTGCTAACTAGCTACCACATCATTTGTCAATTATATATAGGCTGAGAGGAAGAGACTAAAAGAAGAGCTGCGCGCAGAGAGGGAAGCAGCAAAACAAAAGGCTGCTATGGAGAGGGCAGCAGCACGCAAATTTGCAAAGGAATCCATGGAGTTAATTGAGGATGAAAGATTGGAACTAATGGAATTGGCTGCTTCCAGCAAAGGGTTGCCCTCAATTCTTTCTCTTGATTATAACACCTTGCAAAACCTTGAGTTATTCCGAGGTAGGTGTAGTTGGCATTCTTCTGCTGGACTATTTTTTTTCCTGTCTAATTTTATTCATTATAATAGAACATATATTATTTACTATATTAAATTATCTTATGCCCTCCAAAATCTATATTAAATGATTGTGTGCTCTTTGGTTCAGAATTTCTTTGTGACTTCCCTCCAAAATCTGTCCAAATGAAAAAGCCATTTCCCATCCAACCATGGATTGATTCGGATGACAATGTCGGGAATCTTCTCATGGTATGTAGCTATTATTATTTCTGTATCCTTTATCTCATCTTCTCAGAATGTCCAATAATCTAATTTGTGTGCTTAGGATTTAATTCTTTATAGTTTATGCTATTGTGTGCGGAGTTTGATTTTTTAATTGGTTAAAATTTCCTAAAAAGTTATTGGCATTTTGTTTTGCTTTTACAGGCTTGGAGATTTTGCCTGAATTTTGCTGATGTTCTTGATCTTTGGCCCTTCACTCTTGATGAATTTGTTCAAGGTTTCCATGACTATGTGAGTTTCCTGGAAGGGCTTTGGTCAATCAATACAATTACTAGATAGCCTTTATTTATTTCCTTTTGATCTTATTTCGCATCTTTCTCTCTCTTCTGTTCTCTTTGGCAAAAGGAGAGTATCTAAATTGCCTCTTATTATCAGGATTCAAGACTTCTGAGCGAGATACATATTGTGCTTCTTAAACTGATAATAAAGGATATTGAAGATGTTGCGCGAACACCTTCTGGTGGGCCTGGAACAAATCAATATAATGCTGTCAATCCTGAAGGCGGACATCCTAAAATAGTTCAAGGGGTAATCAAAGCTTTGGCGGCTCAATTTGATATGATATGAAGGGGTCATTTAGTACAAGGATCTAGTGGGGGTTTATGATCTAATACCGCTTTTCCCATGTTAGATATATTGAATCCGTAGAGGCCTGCTATAGTCCCAAATTTGGGCAATTTCTTTTCCATGATGGGTTATGGGTTTTAAGTCCCAAGACATGTTATGTTTTTCTGGGACTTGAATCCCTTGACTGTTGCATTTTAAGCTAATTTACATCTAGTAGGTTGCAGAGTCTTACTTGATGATGCTTTCTGTGGCAGGCCTATCTTTGGGGGTTTGATATATGCAACTGGAAGAAGCATTTAAATCTATTAACATGGCCTGAAGTACTGAGGCAACTTGGACTCTCAGCTGGATTTGGGCCTCAGTTGAAGAAAAAGAATAAAGAAGGGGCAAACTTCAATGATAGTGATGAGGTGCTTCTACTTTTCATATTTCATATCTTTTTTCCTATTCTTTAGTTGGGTCTTGTTTCTAAGGTTAAGGTTATCTATCAATACCCCTATATATTAACTGTCTTGAATTTGTTTAATGTTCATTGTGCATCTGAACATACTGGACAAGTGAACGCCTCTGTAGAGCATACTCAGCTTTTGCTTTACTGTGGATTTATGAATTCTCCCTTTGGAGTAACTTTAACTAAAAGAGCAGAAACCTTAAGAAATAAACAAAGAGAACAAGGTGTAGACTGTAGAGTGTGGCATTCCTCTCTTCTCTTCCAAATCGTGTTATGGTTCCTTGTATGCAGACTAAAGGATGTGAAGACATTGTATCCACCCTAAGAAGTGGTTCTGCTGCTGAAAATGCAGTTGCAGTTATGCAAGAAAAGGGGCATATGCTTCAGCGCAAATCCAGGCATCGGTTGGCACCTGGAACTGTAAAGTTTGCTGCATATCATGTTCTTGCTCTTGAAGGAGAGAAGGGCTTAAATGTTATAGAGCTTGCTGAGAAGATTCAGGTAGCTTTATTTCTCTCTTTGTGGTGTTAATTTGATTGTTTTGTTTGAAATCTCCTTTTTGATCAAATTGTTTTCACTTGAAGAAATCTGGTCTTCGTGACCTCAGAACAAGCAAGACGCCTGAAGCTTCTATTTCAGTTGCTTTGTCAAGGGACCCAGTACTTTTTGAAAGAATAGCCCCTTCAACATACTGTGTTCGACCAGCTTTTAGGAAGGATCCTGCAGATGCTGAAGCAATAATTTCAGCAGCAAGAGAGAAAATACAGAGATATCTAAATGGATTCTTAGCTGGACAGAATGGTGATGATGAAGAAAGAGATGATGATTCTGAATGTGATGCCACTGATGTTCCAGAAGTTGATGATTTGGGTACTCCATCTGCTGCTAACAAACCTAGTTACCAACAAAGTGAAGTTGAGGCTTGCTCACTGAATGAGAAGTACAACCTTCCTGAAGAAGTTACTCTGCCAAATGGATTTGATACTGTTGGTATGGACAATTCTTTTTTTTTTTGTCTGCTTGGTGTTCCAATTAATTCTTTTATCCTTGTTATGATTTGACTTTGCAGATTGTTGGAAGTTATTAGTTGTTAATTTATTAATTGATGTTGCTCATAAAGGTATTAGGGAAAGAAACCCTGGCCAAGAAGGTGAAGAAATAGATGAAAGCAAATCAGGTGAACCATGGGTTCAAGGACTTACTGAAGGTGAATATTCTGATCTTTGTGTTGAAGAGCGCCTAAATGCTCTTACTGCATTGATCAGTCTTGCAAATGAAGGGAACTCTATCCGTGCAATTCTTGAGGTTACCTTCTAATTCCTTTCCAGAGCAGTTTTTCGTAAAGCATGATGCACCTGATTGGTTTTGGGTGCTTTTGTGATTAATAGATCGATCCCATTAGAAGGGGGAAAATTTCTCCTAAGTTGGTATTGAAGTTGCATACTCCATTTGTTATCTAACCAGGTTAGTTTTTCCAGGAGCGACTTGATGCTGCAAATGCTCTTAAGAAACAGATGTGGGCTGAAGCACAATTGGACAAAAGGCGTACAAAGGATGAGAATCTAAATAAGTTACCTGATTCTTCTTTCAACGTTGTGGCTAAGGGCAGTCAAAGTCCATTGGCTATTCCCGATTATAAAAATCATGAGGCATCAACAACTGCAGAGGTAAATGAGACTTCTACTGGTAATACCAGTACGAAGCGTCATCTTGAAATATTTTCAGCCGAAAAGAGTTCAGTAGCACAGGAACTTACCACGAATCTGCCAAGTGGACATACTGCAGAAAGGTCACGCATGCAGTTGAAATCATTCATAGGCCATAAAGCAGAGGAGATGTATGTCTACAGGTCTTTGCCTCTTGGTCAAGATCGAAGGCGTAATCGTTACTGGGTATTTGTTGCCTCTGGTTCTAGTCATGATCCAGGGTCTGGCAGGATCTTTGTTGAATCACCTGGTGGCTGCTGGAAGGTCATTGACACTGAAGAAGTAAGAACTTTAACTTTTATTTATGATGTGTGCTTTAGTTGTTTCCTTGGAATCATTATGACTAAAGGAGGTGGGGTTAATGGCCTAATTTTCTGCTGTATGGGCATTGAAAAGTTTGGTCATAAGTAATTATGTCTCCATGAATTATTACAACTAGAAATATCCTTGAGGTTAAACTTCACACTCTATATGGTTCAATTTGAATGCCTCTATATCACATTGATGGTGACACATTTCAAACTTCTCTCAATCGGTTTAGAGTGTCCTGTGGACATTATACCATGGAAATTTACTTCATTTAAATATCTTATGATCATGTTCATCCATTTATGTCACTTAAACATCTTATAGCCATGTTCATCTGTTGGTTGTTGTACCTAGCATCTAACAGTTCGTCTATGTTATTGGTGTTTTCACTTTTTCCAGGTATTTGATGCTCTTTTGACATCTTTGGAAACACGGGGGATTCGGGAATCTCATTTACATATGATGCTGCAAAAGATCGAGATTCCCTTCAGGGAGTGTGTTCGGAGTACTATATCAAATGCTGATTCTATGGTTCAACATAGAAACACAACTGGACATGAAGCAAGTATCAGCCCTGCTTGCTATGCCAGTGCTGATAGTCCTAACAGTATGGTCTGTAATATAAATTCTGAAGGATGCGAATATTCTTCTTCTTTTAAAATTGAGCTGGGAAGAAATGAGATGGAGAAGGGGAGTGCTTTGAGGAAATACCAAGATTTTCAAATTTGGATGTGGAAAGAGTTCTTTGGTTCTTCAAATTTATGTTCCGTGGAATTCAGGAAGAAAAGGTGTTCACCTTTATTAGGAATATGTGATGCCTGTCTTGATTCTTATCTTTTTGAAGAGGGCCTTTGCCCGTCTTGCCACAGGGCATTTGGCAAAGTTGATGGCATTATAACTTTTTTGGAACCATCAATCAATGTGGACAAAATTAAAGTTGACTCTAAGGATTTGATTGTCTCAAGTCCTCCGAGAATCAGAATGATCAAGGCCCTGTTATCTATGCTTGAGGTAAGGATTCTAAACTTTCATCCCTACAACTCTTGTTTATTTTGGGACCTTTTTATCCCAGATTCTAACCTGTTACCTGTATGGATCTGCTTTTTAACAAACGCTATTTGCATGCTTCAATCAATAGGTTTCTATACCATCTGAGGCACTTCAGCCTTCTTGGACAGAAGAATGTAGGAGGATATGGGGTTTAAGGCTGCACAATTCATCATCCACTGAGGATCTTCTGCAGGTTTTGAAGATTTTAAATTTATACTTTGTTTATATTCATATAGCTGGATATGTATATTTTATGGTAATGAACAAACACTTCTATATTCAAACAAAACAGCTGCATTTGCAAGTTTTGAGGGCTCTGGGTTTATTTTAAGACGGGGATTTGCAGTTATTTGTTTCTATAAGATTTGTATCCAAATGTCTGGATCATGATGGATTGTCTTTAAGATAGGAAAACAAGGATAAGGAGTGAAGTGAAATAGTGAATAGATTAGGAATCTCAAGTAAGCCTTAACCCCAAGCTAGTTGGGGTCAACTATGTGGAATCTATGTCTCTTCCCTCATATTTTGTAAATTGCACGTGTATATTGACTTTTGTATGTGGGAAATGGTGCACCTCTTGCATGAACCATTAGTTCCCCTCCCTCCTTTCCCTTGACAACTTTTTTTAAAATGAAAAGGGTAGAACAAGAAGTTTGTCTAAATGCTTGACAAATTTGTTGCAGAATCTGACTCAGCTTGAAGGATTCCTGAAGCGTGATTATTTGTCATCAAGTTTTGAGACAACTAAGGAATTGTTGGGCTGCTCTACTTCACGATTTACTGCTTGCCATTCTGCTTTTCCTGGATCTGTTCCTGAGCTTCCCTGGATACCACAAACTACTGCAGCTGTGGGGCTGAGACTCCTGGAACTTGATGCCGCTGTTTCCTATGATCCAGATCAGAACACCAATGAACTCAAAGTCAGCTTTATAGTTAAGTGTTATTTTCCGTTATCAACTTAATTGTTTTAGATGAAGCCAAATTGTTTTTGGTGTTTCTGAGTTGTGATCATGTAGCATTTTACTTCATTTATGGTTGGTAACTTCACAATGAAGCTTTATTAACATCTTTTTTCCATTGCATAGAAGCCTGCTTTAGGGTATGCTTCCACAAAGAACCTTCAAAAGGTAGAGCCCATGATGTTGGATCAGAATGGACAGTTGAAAGAGGAAAACTGGAATTACTCAGGCAGGCAAGTGGTCCGCAGTAAAGGAATTGGTCGCCCACGTGGAAGATGGCCAAAAGAAACTGCTGCATCGGTTTCAGGATCTTCGAGGCCTAGTGCAAGACACAGCGAGACATTGACTCAAGTTTTAATCCAACAGGGCGAAGCACAGGGACATAAGCATAGGCGTGGTCGTCGAACTCTGAGGAGGAGAAGAACTGAGAAGTTAGTCATCGACGAGATACAGCCCGATTATCTGGGTGACGAGGCAAACCTTGAAAGGTATTCACAATCACCTAGAAGCAATGGCCATGAAAGAGAAGCAATTGACATGAATATTGGAAGAATGCAAGTTGAGAACGATGACAACAGTTCTAGCGGGGAATCTGATGACAGTGCCCAAGAAAACCCATACGAGTTTGGGAAACGACAAATACACTTCAAGGTTTCCAATAGAGGTGATGACATGATGGAAATACCAAATGACGATGTAGATGATAGTAGCGATGACAATCAATGTGGATATCCAGATTATAACCAAAATCTAGGGGGCGGCGATGTAGACATGGAAGACGGTGAAGATGAGTTGGATGGAAATGGAGATTCAGAGGATGATCAAGGCTCAGATTCTGAAGTTCATGGAGATTATAGTGATTAAATTCTAGAAATTTTTGCTTCAAAAAAAAAAAAAAATCTAGAAATTTTTGGGGGTACTACCCACTTGCAGTGGGGAAATCCCGGTACTAAAATTTGTACTCTTCCAATGACAGTTTTTGAAGAAGTGCGATTTTTGTATATAACAATGTCTTAGAATACCACAAGAGTTGCCAGCGCGAACTGTAATAATACAAGGCAACCAATGGGTTAGTACTATTTGTTAGCATAGCATTGGTATAATTTTGTTCATTAGAAATACATTTTTAATGCTTTTCTGTCGTGTTTTTTTAAGTTAAGCCTCCACCATTTATAATGCCATTTAAGAGAAAGGTTTTAACTTCCAACAAGAGCAGTCTATTGGTCTTTTTGATTTTTAAACTGGTCAATTATAAGTGATGTAGTTCTTTATTAGTTAGAATCACAGGACAGAGTTTGCTTCGAGTACATTTGTCAGTAACAATATTTTCATTTTTTATATTCCAATAGTATATTATTATAAAATATAAGGATGAAATGCCCTTGAATGAATGCAATTGAACTCAAGGAGGATATACTCATCTATATAAACTGTACAGATATTAACTTATATAATCTTTGATTGAAATCTAAAACTCTCCATTGATATAATTCCACACAGATTGCAAGCAAATTTTGCAAGGACAAGTGCATATAATGGAACTTGAAAGCATCAAGAGGAGCTTCAACTGGGGAAAACAGGGGGAAGAGATGTTATCTTCTCAGGAAGCAAGCAATTTCTTCACTCCAGTCTTCTGCTCTGATGTCAATCTAGTTGGGAATTTGATGTTGAACTTGATCCTCAAATTGCCTCTTTTTGAGGGCTCTTTAGGTATCGGCATCCCTTCTCTCGCCACCACCTCTTCATAATTCGGGTGTATGACGCTGTTGATAGGCACTGTTAAGTTTCTTCCATCCAGCGTCGTCAAATGGACTGTATAGCCTGCTAACGCTTCAGCGAGCGATACTTTCTGTACGACGATGAGATCATTGCCTTCTCTCGTAAACGTGCTATGTGGTTTCTCGTCAACTATGAATACAAGATCTGCGGGAATGACATTTGGCTCTTCGTTCCCTTTCTCCGGGAATGTGATTTTGGTTCCCTTCTTCCAACCGGGTTTGATTGTGATGGTTAAAATCTCTTCTACCACCATTGTGGCCCTGAGAGTAATAATCACTATTAGAGAACATAGCAAACAAGAAAGTATTGTGGGAATGGCAAATGATGCACTTACCCACTTGCATCAACTATCTCCCTCGAGATTTTCATCTTTTTGGTGGTTCCCTTGTAGAGTTCCTCTAGGCTACAAGGCAACTTTCTTTCAATTGGCGGTGCTTTCCGGGGCCCTGAACTCATTGGTCTGCTATCCCCAAACGAACTAAAGATATCATCCCCAAACAATGAACTAGGGAATCTTGAACTACCTCTCATGCGGCTACCACCTCCCATTCCACCACCAAAAGGACTCGACCCACCAAAAATTTCAGCAAAAATATCATTCGGATTTCTGGCGTTGAATCTAAATGCCCCGTCCCCTGGATGGAAGTATGTTGTCCCACCGGCATCTGGTGGTGGTGCTTGTCCTTTAAGCCCTTCTTCGCCATATTGATCATAGACTGCCCTCTTCTGCGGGTCACTTAAAACCTGTAGAAACAGGCACACATAAACATCTGCCTTTGTTGAATAAATAGCCGAATCTTCAAATAAACCACAAGATACACACACAAACACAAGCAAAAGACTCACACAAGTCAATCCGTTTGATCCAACATGACACTAACACGAGACCATATTCCAGTTTTGAGCAAATGCCAATTCATTAACAGAATATTAACATCAATCAAAGGTTTCTTTTCCGCTTATAGACACATGCATCCAATTCCACAATCATTCTCGAGAAATTATCAAGATAATCACCTTCAAGACAAATCCATCATGCCTCTCTTCTTCCTTCCATTAGCTATTTCATTAATCCATTATAGGCATATCCAAATCAGGTGTAATATTCAATCCAATAACATAATTTCAAGAAGTCATTTAAAGGGTTTAACCTCTATGCAATAAAAATCTGTGCTTCTAATTCAAACATCACAATTGCAGAGCTATTCCATTAAAATTTTCTTCTTCGTTTTAATAGTTCTCTAATCAACCTCATAGTAAGCATATCAAATCAATAAGCTATCTGCAATCCGATCACGAAATCCAGATAAATTCCAAAAGGATGGATCTTTACGAGAAGCTAAGAATAATAGCAATCGAATCTAGTGTCATTTAATCCAAACATTACAATACCATCAAAGTCACAAAACACAAATCTGAAAAAAAGAGCATAGATCCATGAAAGAGGTTAACATACATCGTAAGCTTCAGAGATCTGCTTGAATTTGGCCTCAGCTTCTTTCTTGTTGTTGGGGTTCTTATCAGGGTGCCACTTCATAGCCAGCTTTCTGTAAGCTTTCTTCAAATCTTCATCTTTTGCATTCCTATCCACCTGCAATATCTTGTAGTAATCCACCCCCATCACCTCGTCTTCTTCTTCTCGAACTTAAACACAGAGAATCTTGATATGTGTGAAGCTTGATCTTGGAATAGATAGAAGGGGTCTGGAAACTGGAAAGAAGGAATACCAATTCAAGATGGAAAGAAGCTTCAAGATTTCTGATGTCAGCACTCAGCGGTGCTGTTGGTCTATCTCGACAGCCTAACAAGCCGACGCAATATATGCCAAACTATTATTTTTTTCTCAGTTATATTCTATCCTTTCGAGTTTCGAGTTGAGCCATGGCTGCTAGTGAAACAAATCACTCCATTTGGACCAAAAGATCCCTAACTATAACATTCTTAATCAACAATTAACAACAATAAAATTCAATTTAGTAACCACAAAGTTACAAATTTGACTATTAACCAAAATGATTTGTTGACTTTTTTAATTTTAGATAGTTATAAACAATTTACACTGATTTACTTTCTTGTAATACTTTGTTGATTATATACGGACACAATGCAAAATGTACCCAGTGCATATTCTTAGATAACAAATGAGGGTTTCTTTTTGTTAGTTATATTAATATTATTATTCTTATTGTGTTTCAATTGAAATAGTCAAATATTGTTATAGAATAGTGTAGTTAGTTTAGACTTTTACTGAGCGTTAGTTAGAGGTCTATTTTTGATATACTTGTAGCTCCTATTCTGTTGGTTAATCTAATTATCGATTCACATCTTTCATCTGGTATCAAGTCAGGTGTAGAATCTATCTCCACCACTAAATTTACCCCCTCTCACCACCACCTTCCGGCAGCATGGCTTCTAGCTCATCGGAACGCACTGTCTCGGCCGCCGGTTCTCCGTCTCCGGCCAGCGCCAATCCTCTCAACGGGGCGCACCACTTTGTGTCCATGAAGCTAAACTTTCGCAACTTTCTCTTCTGGCGTACGCAACTGCTCCCATTCCTCCGGAGTCAGGACTTGCTCGGCTACGTCGATGGGACCATTCCGTGTCCGCCGGCCACCATCGAAGTGCCATCATCCGGCGAGTCCACTTCCGCGGCTGCTACGGTTGTTGTCACTCCCAATCCGGCGTTCAAAATATGGGAGAGACAAGACCAATCAATTTTGTCGCTCCTCGTTTCCGCAATGTCAGATGAGGTTCTTCATCTCGCGGTTGGGCGCAATACATCGGCAGAAGTTTGGGCGTCGATTACGCAGGCTCTCGGCTCATCCAGTCAGGCGCGATGCCTCAGCCCGGGCAGTTCCAAATGCTACGCCAGGGGAATGCCACGATCGCCGACTATCTAGGCCGTGCGCAGATGCTTGACGAGGCTCTTGTTCAGGCTGGTCGGCCGCTCTCTTTAATGGAACAAAATTTGTATGTGTTCCGCGGGCTCAGGCCGAAGCTCAAGGCGATCGCAACCTCTCTCACTGCCTCCGGGAATCCAGTAACGCTCGCTCATTTATCTGACCATTTGCAGGCGCACGAGTTTATACTCGTGGATGACTACCCCTCGGCGGTTGAGCCTGGTGTTCCTCCGACCGCCATGTATGCTCGCCGAGCGCCGAACAATGGCGGCAGGCAGACTCAGAACCACCGTGGGCGCGGTGGGTGCGGATGACAGGGGCGTGGCGGACGTGGCGGCCGAAACGGGAATCCGAGGTGCCAAATTTGTCGTTCGCATGGTCATACGGCTGTGTACTGCTTCAAACGGTACAGTACACAGCCGCCTCAAGCACACATGGCCGTATCCGGGGAAGCTCCGGCGTCGTCGACTTCTGGCTCGGGCGACGGCTGGTTCCCGGACACTGGCGCCACCGCACATGCAACTCCGGACGCGGGGATGATGCAGCAGTCTGAGGAGTATGGGGGACCCGATGTGCTACGAGTTGGAAACGGGGCAGGTTTGGCGATCTCGCGAGTCGGTCGTGCATTAATTCCTTCTGTATCTAAAAATTTATATCTGTCTGATATTTTACACGTACCGAGTTTGTCTGTTCCACTCTTATCCGTTAACAAATTTACATCTGAAAACAGGGTCTTCTTTGAATTTCATTCTGACTGTTTTTTTGTGAAGGACTCCACAACCAAAGCAGTTCTTCTTAAAGGTCGTGCATCGGGCGGACTGTATAAGCTCCCGGTTTCCCGGACACATCATGCGTTCGTCAGTTCCCGTGCTACACCCACTGTGTGGCACCGTCGTCTTAGTCATCCCCACAAAGTCGTCCTAAATAAAATTCTACAGAATTGTCCGATTAAGTCCAATAAAACCGAGTCCGTGGAGTTATGTGCAGCTTGCCACCTTGGGAAATCAGCAAGATTTAAATTAGATAGGGTCCCAAATAAAAGTGAAAATGTATTAGATTTGGTTTTTACCGATATATGGGGTCCGTCACCTGTAATGTCTACGAATGGCTTTCGTTATTTCGTTCTATTTGTAGACGATTTTTCCCGCTTCTGCTGGTTTTACCCATTAAGGGTGAAATCAGATATTTATAAAATCTTTGATTCTTTTCGGGTCCTGGTAGAGCGACAATTCTCGCGCTCTATCAAATCAATTCAGTCGGACTTAGGGAGTGAATACCGCAAACTGCACAATACGTTTCAAACACAGGGAATTAATCACCGTCAGTCATGTGCCTATACACATGAACAAAACGGCCGTGTGGAGCGCCGGAATAGACACATTGTCGAAACCGGGATTGCTCTACTAGCTGAAGGCAAAGTCCCACAACAATACTGGGATTACGCCTTTGAAACGGCTAC